TGAAAGATTACTTTCTAATATACAGAAAAAAATTTAAAAAGCTAACATTCTATCATACAGTTTCTCTATTAACTTATTTTTCTGATCAAGTGGCTAAAGTTCATTCTGAGTTTTGGGATAAGCAAGAAGTTTACTTAGAACTTTAAAAATGACAAGTAGGATCCAATAATTACAACAAAGAAATACCAACTTGAGAACAAACCAATTACAGGACTAACATTTGTAACAAGTCTCTGTTTACTCTTTAAGAACCTTTTTTCCTATTAAAATGTCTCACTGATAAGAAAATGTAAAATATTTTCTTTTTCTTAGAACAGATGTTTTGCTATCCTACAGATAATATAAGGACTTAGCAAATTTTCTGTAAACAGTTTGTGCATAATCAACAACATAAATTATCTTAGAAGAAAACAAATTATCAATTATTAACTTATATTCATGTTTGACCCTGTCTAAAGAATTCTTGGACATGACTACTACTAAATTATAATGAAGGCCTTATAAATTTTAAGAAGAAACTTTTATGCAATTTTGAATCTGATATACTACATTATTGAAATTTCAACTATTTTTGCCAAAAGTAAAAGATAACTAAAATCTCTCACAACTTACCTATTATAATATCGGCCTCCCATCATAAACTGATTGTTTGGTGTTGGACATATTTTAAATCGCTGAATATTTTCATTGGTCCGAAAGTAAAGTGAATAATCACCAGGAGTATTGTCTGAAGGCCTCACAAGAAAACTGCAGACTTGGCCAACTGTAAAAATGAAGCTGTTAGTTTTATTTCCTAATTATCAAATAAAAAAGAAAAAAAATGTTAAGTATCCTAATTATAAAGTACATTCAAAAGTCATAAACTTTCACCAGGAACTTGCTTTATAATAAAGACTATTTTAACACATTTTTGTATTTTCTAGTTTATGAGTCACAACCGCCCATGATGTTGCATTTGTGTAACACATAAAAATACGGAAGTCTACAGCAGTGATTTCTGGTTAATAATGTCTATACCTGTCATAACTTGGAAAGAATAATCTAACAGAGAATATGGGGTAAAATGGCCACATACTGTCTGTAAATCCTCTTAGTAAGAATAGTCAATAAATTACAAACAGTAAATTTTGTTTAGGAATACTCTATTTCATCAATGCTTCTGATTAAACATGAAAAAGTACTAACTATAGGGGCACCTAGGTGGCTCAGTTAGTTAAGTGTCTGACTCTTGATTTCAGCTCAGGTCACAATTTCACAGTCTTGAGATCAAGCCCCACATCACACTCTGTTGACAGTGCAGAGCCTCCTTGGGATTCTTTCTCTTCCTCTCTCTGCCCCTGCCCCACTCATTCTCTCCAAAATAAACAAACACTTAAAAAAAAAAGTAATAACTGTAATAAAATAGTGCCAAAGCTTATAAAGGTTGATTAAAAATGAAATATGTGTACACCTCATGAAAATGAGTACATGTACACTACATTTCATTTAATAGGTAAGAACCTGAAAAGTCACATAAAAATAAATTATCATATTTTAAGATTTTCTCACTAATTTTAGGGAGGTCTTTTTGATATCTTTGATAGGCAGTGACTCTTAAAACTAAAATGCTTAGTTTTCTCTTTGTCTTAAGTACTAATCAAACAGGAAACATCAGAACCTGATTGCTTTTAGGAAAACACAATGAACACTTAGAATATGAGATGTAATTTTCATGTAAATTATCGACAGCTCCAATCATCTAGCCAAGACACTTACTACCAAGTAATTTCATGTTCAATACAAAGAATAGGAATTCATGCAAAATTATGCATGCAAGTGCTTAGGTGCACTTTTCAGGGGAAAATATCACCAGATTCTTAAAAGAGCACATGACCCAAAGGAAATAAAAAGTAACGTATAGAAATTAAGTTTAGCTCCTTTTCAAGTTGAAATGCCTAAAACAAGAATGAGTGCTTCAAGTCCTTGATGGTGCAAGTTCAAAAATATAAACTTATATTCAAAATTCAGTAAATTCATTAAAATAAATATTTTGGTTCCACTCTCAAGGCTGATAGCATGTCATGTTGGTTGAGGGTCTGGTGTGTATTACTACCATGCAGCATCATCATGTTTATTTTTAACCTGCTTAACCTACATCCTCACAAGAAAATCAAACACCTCTGAAACTGTCTTGACTCTTTCAAAAGAGCCAAGAATTAATTATATTAAACTGCAATTCCTGTAATTCAAAACAATAATTCAGATAACACCTTTAATAATCACTATATACAGAAACTATCAAACACTGGTTGTTTTTAAAGAACTAATATTTCTCAACTGTAGATTATGGCTTAAGCTGGTCTCAAATCCTTATAAAGTGTGGTTTACTAAAGAGATATTTTGTAGTTAAATTAATTCAGTATTAAATGTTAGGATAAATGATGACAGGATTGTTTCTAATTTAAATGATAAACCCACAATATAAGTCAATTTTTACTTTACATACCTCTATAACCAGAGTTTTAGGAAAGGTTGAAATTAATATATTTTAAATAAGGCACAGTTCTGTAATTCCACAAGTGCACAAAGATAAATGCAAGAACATCTGCTAGAGCAAAAAAATAAAAACTACACAATATTCCTCTATAGATATATAAAAACCATAATTATCTAACAGAAGCTTATGGCCATTCAAAAGAATAATGAAAACTTATATAAGCAGATATGGAATGATCACCCAAAATATATTCTAACATGAAAAAAGTGTGTTGCACATTCCTGTGAATGTGTGTGCAGGGGGTATGTTTAGGGGTGCATGCAGAAGTGAGGAAGGGAGATACATACAGACACTGAAAACTTACAAAAATACAGAAAAAAACCTCTCATCTGGTGCTGCTTCTAGTGAAGAAATTGGGAACTCAGACAGAAAGAAACACGTCACTGAATTTTATACTGCATATATGTATTCAACTAAAAAACACCAGATAACAAGTACACCAGTTTCTCTGTGGTGGGCAAGAAATTACAGTATGTATAAATATCATATTAGTGCTAAAGGCAAAACAGATGATAAATTGTTGGTTTTCTCTTTTACTTTTTTAATAAAGATATTAGAAAAGGCAAGTGAATATACAATTACCTGTCATTAATAAGTTATAAGCTTCTTGTTTGGAAATTTTCCCATGGAACCATCTTAAAAGGAGAACAAATTAAATATGTGAATCTAAAGTCCTTTTTGCTGTTATACAATCAAAATTAAACACAAGTTTAATTCAAGGTGCAATAATGAAATAAATACAAATACAACTGATCAAATTATCTTATTCCTTCTACATTTATGTTACTACACTTTGTTAAACACACATACTTTCAACAAAATATAGAAAAATCAGGGACTAGTATGAACTATAATTTCCTTATTAGTTAACAATACAAAAACAGCAATGATTTTAATTCTGAGAATGACAAACTGTTATATGCTTACATCATAGCTAGTGTTCTCTTTTCTTTGTATTAGGAGGGATGGTACAGGTAGAGCCCACTACAGATTTATCCAGAAAAAAAATTACTCAGTGAATTTTCCTCACATTACTCTCAAAATGAACTTCCCCTACAATAGGTGATAGGTTCTCTCTTGAAAGAAAATAGACCTGACTGGTTAATACTTTCCTTAAAGTCAGAAAATAAGGCTGAGCCATGACAAAGACTGGATACCAGCATCAAAAACTGAAGTAAAAGAATATCTTAGCATTCCTAATTCTGTTTGAGCTGATAGCATAACAAATTAGATGGCTAGAGTATTTTAGTTTCTGTATACTTAAAATAAGCATTTAGAAATTATTATAAATGGCATTATAGTCAAGATCCACTGCATATAACTACAGTATTTAAACTTTACCTTAAAATAAAATGACACATCTGGTTTTAAAAATTAATTATTAGTAATTAAATTTCTTAAAATCTCCTTTCATTTACCTGAATATCTATTATCTATCTTGTTGATTAGCACCTGTTAAAGCCAAGCTGACAACCCTAGATCATACCTCTATTACTTTGTCATTAATTTTTAGAATCTACTATTATTTTTGATGGTAGCTTGAAAAACAAATTGGAAAGTAAAAATACTAGAAGACTAAAACAAAAAAATCAAGATCCATCTAAATGCTGCCTACAAGAGACTCATTTCAGACCTAAAGACACATGCAGATTCAAAGTGAAGGGATGAAAAACATTTACCAGGCAAATGGAAGTGAAAAGAAAGCTGGGGTAGCAATAATTTTATCAGACAAAATAGACTTTTAAAACAAAGACTGTGAACAAGAGACAAAGAAGGACATAATAAAATAATAAAAGGAATGATCTAATGAGAGGATATAACACTCATAAATATCTATGGACCCAACATGGAGGCACCTAAATACATAGTGCTATTAACTCTATTAAGACTTAAAGGAAGAAACTGACAGTAATACAGTAACAGTAGAAGACTTAAACATCCCACTTATATCAGTGGATAGATCATCCAGACAGAAAACCAACAAGAAAAGAGTGGTTTTGAATGACACATTGGACATTAGACTGGATGGACCTAACAGATATATACAGGACATTGCATAACACTTCCCAGGGTAAATCACATTAGCCCACAAAAAAAATTCAAGACATTCAAAAAGAATGAAATGCAAAAAGACTGAAATCATATCATGCATCTTTTCTTTCCACAATGTTATGAAACTAGAAATCAATCATGAGAAAAAAATCTCCAAAGAACATAAATACATATAGACTAAATAACATGCTACACTGAACAATGAATGGGTCAACCAAGAAATCAAAGAGGAAATCAAAAAATACATGAGACAAATGAAAATCAAAACAGTCCAAAATCTTTGGGATGCAGCAAAAAATGTTCTAAGAGGGAACTTTATAACAATACAGGCCTACTTCAAGAAATAAGAAAAATCTCAAATAAACAATCTAACCCTAAGACCTAAAGGAGCTAGCAAAGAAGAACAAGGCCCAAAGTCAAAATAAAGAAGGAAATAATAAAGATTTGAGTAGAAATAAAAGAAACAGAAACAAAAACAAAACAAGCAACAGAAAAATATCAATGAAACCAAGAGCTGGTTCTTAGAAAATATATGCAAATTATATTAAACATTTAGATAGACTCATAAAGGAGAAAAAGAGAACTGAAGGAAATATAATCATAAATGAAGGATGAGAAGTAACAACCAACATCACATAAATACTAAACACTGTAAAATAAACTGGACAATCTAGAAGAAATGAATAAACTCCTGGAAACAAATATTATTCCAAAACTGAATCATGAAGAAACAGAAAATTTGAATAGATTGGTTAATAGCAATGAGACAAACTCAATAAGCAAAAATTCCCAAAAAACAAAAGTCCAGGACCAGATGACTTCACAGATGACTTTCACAGGTGCCATCTATCTACCAAACATTTAAAGAAAAGTTAACACCTATTGTTCTCAAACTATTGCAAAAAATAGAAGAGGAAGAAAAACTTCCAAATTCATTCTTCAAGACCAACATTAATTACTCTGATACCAAAACCAGACAAAGACACTACAAAAAAAAACAAAAATCTGAGTAACACATGTAAAAATCCTCAACAAAATACTAGCAAACCGAATTCAACACATTAAAAAAAAATGATTCACCACAATCAAGCAGGATTTATTCCAGGGATGCAAATGTGGTTCAATATTTGCAAATCCATCAACGTGATACATCACATTAACAAAAGAAATGATAAAAACCATATGATCATCTCAACAAATGCAGAAAAAAGCATTTCACAGAGTACAACATCCATTCTTGATAAAAACTCTTGATAAAAACAATCCCATTTACACCTGCACCTGAAATAATAAAATACTTAGGAATAAACTTAAAGGAAATGAAAGACCTGTACCCTAAAAACTATAAAACACTGATAAACTGAAGATGACACAAACAAATGGAAAGATATTCCATACTCATGACTTGGAAGAACACTGTTAAAAGGTCCATACTATCGAAAGCAAACTATAGATTCAAGGCAATCCATATCAAAATACCAATAGCATTTTTCACAAAACTGTAACAAATAATCTTAAAATTTGCATGGAACCACAAAAGACCCCCAAGAGCCAAAGCCATCTTGAAAAAGAAGAACAAAATTGGAGGTATCATAATCCCAGATATAAAGATATACTACAAAGCTGTAGTAATCAAAACAGTATGGTACCGGCAAAAAACAGTACACAAAAAACAAAAAACAAAAACCCAGACCCAATAGATCAATGGAACAGAAAAGAGAGCCCAGAAATAAACTCACAATTATGTGGTCAATTAATCTAGGGCAAAGGAGTCAACAATATATGCTGGGGGAGAAAAACAGTCTCTTCAATAAATGGTGTTGAAAAAACTGGACACGTACATGCAAAAGAATGAAAACTGGGTTACTCTCTTATACCATACACAAAAATGAACTCCAAATGGATTAGAGACATAAAGGGGGACCTGAAATCATAAACCTCCTTAAAGAAAACACAGGCAGTAATTTCTTTGACATCAGCCATAGAAATATTTT